TTACACAATTTAAACAAAATCGTATTTACAAGAAAACGTCAAAGAGAAGGAAATATTTTGCTTCTCTGTAGTGAACTTCATCCATAGAAATGGTCTAGTATATTTTCAAAAAATCCCCCAAAATTAATAAAATTAATAACTGAAATAAACAAATACAAACACACGCATATAAATATATATATACTTACAGACGTAACATGAGTTTTCAATTGAAATATTAAAAGAGCAGCATAGACAAATAATAAAATGATAGCAATAGCATGACTAATATTCTGTAAATCACATTCAATGCCCGTGCCCACAGGAGCAGCAATTTTGAATGCGGCAGGAGTGACAAGTGCAAGAACAGCAAGAGCCAAGGTAGATGCACTAGTGGATACAAAAAGTTGTGTGCTTAAATGAGCATTCATAGACTCTCTCTTGGACTTTTTTCTTGGCCAAGATCCTGCCAAAACTAAAAATCAGTCAACTCTCCGTAAAACGAATTTAGAAGGTTGATAAAAAAGAAAAATGCGAATGATTTAAAAAGAGTTTTGGAATTTTGAAAATAATTATAATAATATATATATATACATGTTTTTTTTTTTTAATATTTAAAAATTTTAGGTAATGAATGAATGAATGAATAATGAATGAATAATGAATGAATGAATGAATGTGTGTATAATGAATGAATGAATGTGCGTATATGAATAGGTTTAATGTGTGTATATTAAATCCACTTACCAATAATATGTTACATAAAATTGCACCAAGTACAGAAGAACGAACAATTGAATATTGTTTATCCAATAATGCATAGCATGAAATCACCAATTCGACAAAATTTCCGGCAAACGCATGAAGAATTGCACCATATGACTTTAAAAAAAAAAAAAAAAGGAATCAATCAAATCAATCAAATCAATCAGAGAATAGACAAAGAAATACTGAAACAAATAGATCAGGATTGATTACTTACAGGATGAAATCTGGCTGAAAGATCATCAATGCCGGTTGTCATAATTTTTGATAATGGAATGATAGCCAAGAAATTAAAGAAAAGCAATATATTGTCATTTACATCAAATCTTTTCATTATGATAGCAGGAGGTAAGAATATTAAAAGAAAATTGGATTTAACAGCAAGTAAGATTTCTCGTGTGTTCCTGTACCATTTCACAGGGTCTTTTGATACAATCTTTGGTTTTTTTAGTATATTTGGTGTATGAATATGAATATCCCGTGAAGCGTCCTCTGGATCATGGCCAATATTGGAATGATCGTTTTTTTCATTGATATGATTAGTTTGCAACTGGTGATTTATTGAAGGATGGTTGTGATTATTATAATCATCACTATAATTATTATTGTTGTTGTTGTTATGATGATTATTGCGATCATCATATTCTATATGTTCTCTCCTTAATATTCCATGATGAGGAGGAACGTTATTGGGAAAGTTATTATTATTATTAGGAATGTTATTATTATTAATATCCGTTGGATAATTTTTTTGGTAAGGTGGCGTCGGATAAGACATTTTTTTTTTGTATGTAATGTATGGTTAAATGAATTGAGTGTTTTTCACCAGGAAAATAATTAATGATTTTATAAATAAAATGGTTTATTCTACTTTTTATTTAAAAAAGTAGAAGAGGAAAGGGATTAGGAGAGGAAGGAATGTGACTAAAAAAAAAAAAAAAAACCAGAAATAATAAATTAATACATTAATTAATTAAATTTTCATGTTATATTATTAAATTGAAAAAATTGTAATGCTTGTGGTAATATACTAACTCAAAATATGCTAAACTTTCAGTCTTACCAGTCGCAACAGTCATCATTACTAATACCTCAACAAAATGACTTTAGTAGCAAAAGCAACAATAACATACAACAATTTCAAAATCAACAACAACAACAACAACAACAACAACAACAACAGGCTCTTCAAAATAATCAACGAGAAACTTATTGTTTCCAACAAATGTCATTTCCACAACAACAACGTCACGATAATCAATTTTATTCTCATGATAATAATAACGTAACTGTAAAAATGGAATCAGTAGATAATTTTGAACCAATTGCGTTTTTTGAATCAGAGCCGAGAATTTTACAAATGCCACAGACTTCCATTCCTATTACTACAATAGGAACATTTTACCCCCCACAGATTAACTCTTTCCCACAACAACAACAACAACAAACATGGAAATCCATCCCAACATCATCACCGTTATCATTACAATACCAACTACAATTAGAACATATGATATTACAAACAATGAATTATCCACAAAAACCACAAAAATGGCAAAATATCCCACAAAGAAATCTTTTTCTTCCTAAACAACAATGGAGCCAACAACAACAATCAACACCTAATATTCTCACGAATTCACATTTGCATAATTCTCTTCTAAATAATAATAACAATGATAATAATATCTATAAATTACCTTCAAACATATTTTCACAACAGCCAATTTACCTTCACCAGAATCCCTGGAATCTTGAACAACAAATTAATCCACAATAAAACGGTTACAATACAATTCATAATCAACCTTATAATTAATTATTAATAGATTTGATTATTTGATTATTTATTTTTAATTAAAAATAAAATAAAATGTACTTTTTATTTCTCTATATAAAAGCTTAATTTATTGCAATAATAATTATAATATTACACACACTAATTAATAAAAAAATTTAATTATTTAAATTTTAATTATCGTCAATATTGGTTATTACTATTTTCATTGTGTTTACTATTATTGCTGCTGCTGCTGCTACTGCTACTACTATTATTATTATCGTCGTCGATGCTATTATTATAAATATCATGATTAACGTCAATATTTTCGCTATTATCGTTAGGTTTGTTTGGTGAAATTCGTTGTGGGGCACCTGGTCGTTGATACCCATGTTGTTTAAGGAATAAACCACATCGATTGCCTATATATAAATATATATATAAAAGTAATTAATAATTAACATAAGAATATGATATAGAATAAACACAAACAATAATCTAATGATGATAACCTACAAAGTTTACTGCCTTCTGACCCTCTCCAACAAGGAGTTTCTTGCGTGCCACAATTTTGACAACTTGGTGGTCCTGTCCCTGCCTTTTCCGGTTTAATTAAACGAATTTCTCCATCAGTATCAACTTCTGTAGGACGCTGTCTCCCCTTAACTTTAAGACTAGCAAAATACAAACATAAATATATTTATATTCACCTATACATGTGTGTATATAAATAAAAATAAAAATAACATATATATTTAAATATACTAACTATAAGCCACATGCATTACAAAGTAAAGCTTCTCCTTGTAAATCTCGTCTCCAAGCTGGTGTTTCCCTTGCACCGCAATTTGAACATCGATAAATCTCGCCAGCTTTGATGATTTTGCCAGAATTAGTTCGAGGAGATGCTATGGTTGCTCTTGATCTTCTTCTTCGTCGTCTTCTTGACTGAAAAGAATGAGTGTTTATTGAATTGGTATCAGATGAAATTGAACGTCTTGTTGTCGATGCATTATGATTGTTGTTGTTGACGTTAGCATTGCTATTACCATTGCCATTACCACTGCTATTGATAATGTTATTACAATGACTACATCCAATATTTGAGGTAATCTGTTCTTCATGATGTTGATTTAAAATTATCAAATTTCCTCCATTCATAATTTTGTGATTTTCCGCTGAAAAGGTTTTTGTATTTTTGTTATTACTATTATTATTGCTACTACTGCTAATAATATTATTACCGCTATTATCACTTGTAGTATTGTTATCATTATTACTATCATCATCATTATTAGAATTATTGTTACTACAGGTAATAATATTTTCATTACTTGATAATGGATTTGATTTATTTGAATATAATACAGATGTTGGACTGTGGTTTACTCGATGAGGTGATGATGACGACGATGATAATGACGACGGTTGTGAATAGAAACAACTATTGGGTAAAGCAAAATAATATTGAAGAGGAAAAGATAATCCATTATTGAATGAAGAGGGTCCTGTCGGTAAATTAGGAGAGGTTGGTTGACTATGGCCATGTTGGTGATTGCGATGAGGGAATTGATGATAATGGTGGTGATAGTGTTGTTGAGAAATGTAAAGACATTGTAGGCATAACGATGATTCAAATTCCAATTTTGATTGATTGAGACCTGATAACGTGGTATTATTATTATTATTATTATTATTATTATTGGTTTCTTGTGATGTTATAGTATGATTAATGTGCGAAGAATTTGAATTGGTGTCCAAAATATTTGTAAGATTACATTTAATGCTGCTGCTATTACTGCTATTATTAGAAAAAGGAGAAGAATTGATCATAATTTCGTCGGTAGGCTTATTTTGTGTATTATCGTCAGATT